TGGAAAATTTTCCGGATTTTTTTCCGTTTTCATGTCCTGCAGGTAAAAAACGTAAAAACCACTGTCGGCCACTTGAAAAACGGCTATCAGACGCCGTGGCCTAGGTTTCTCACTGCGCGGGAATTCAAATCCTCGTCCCTCCTAGCAACTTTTTTTGAAAATTTGTTGCTTTTAACGGCATTTTTCTGGGATTTCGGATTTTTTTCGAATTTTTTCGCTATAATATTGGGAAAATAGACAGCTTTTGAACATTTTAATGCAATAAAAATTTTTGGTCGGAGTCTCTTAGCTTTGATCTAATTTATCTCGGTTCTTGTCAAAGATATGAAAAATGTGTCAACTGGTAATTTTTTAAATCAAAATATCACCAATATTTTACCGATTGAAACACTTTTTTGACCCTTCTAGGTTTTATGGTGTCTTACTCAAATGTTAATTCCAACGTTTTATTAATTTTCTGTGATATTTTGTAAACTTTCGGTTTTGACAGTTCCTATAAATTTGGAAAATGGTTTGAAGTACTCTGAAAACTTTATACCATCCCAGTTGTCAGTTCTCCATCATCTCTTTTAGTAATTTTACCACTTCCTACAGTAATCCCCACGGTATTTTTCTTAAAAGGACTGATCTTGTCGATGTTGTTGGGGTATCTATTGTAAATTCCAATTCTTAGAGCCACATTTTGTACTTTGGTTGTATTCTCTTCAAGTAGAGAATCCGAAATTTGAATCACCTCCATTCTGAAAATTATTATTCAAAAATTTAAAAGTTGTGTAAACTCCTTAACGCATGATTTTCGACTTCTAGCTTCAAATGCAACGTATCACCGGGATAAATCGGTTGAGTCATCATTACATTCGAATTGAAACTCTTTGTTTCATCACTTCCTAGTTCGTCCAAAAAACACATTTTCGGACAAAAATCGTTGCTTGTAGAGCAGTTTTTGAACGATTGATCTGCAGTGGGACTCTGTAGAAAAGCCAAAAAATAAAACTCTAACTTTCAAAAAACGGTGTATTTTCATCAGTCAATGTGGCTAGTTCTCCTCCAATTTTTTCACAAATCCTCTTTGCATCTCCAGGAAGAATTCCCATTTCCATTGAACCAAATAGCTAATAAAAAGTTTATTCTTGCATCGAAAGCTATTATGTTGGTAGCTACCAGAACGACAACTACCGTAACCGAAAAGTATTCTTATTTTCCGAATATTTTTTCTCACTTTTCACAGATTTTCGTCGAGTTTTCTGTTATTTTTTCCCCCAAAAAATCCAAAAATAAAACTATTTGAGACAGAAAAAAAATTACTGAAAACGCACCAAAATCGAGATAATAAATCTAAATATTTTTAGGTTACTGTAGTAGTCGTTTTGGGACCTTCCACTATCTGCGTTTCCCTTCCACATCTCCGATGTTTTGTACCAGAATAGTAACCTACTTTTAATTCTTGCGAAAACACTTGAAAATTGACTAGAATCCATGAAATATTTAGAGGAATCCAAAACCAAAACTTCTGTATACCTTTTTGCAAATTCATATTTTCTTCTTTAAAAATTCGAGGTTCTAATTTTCTAGCTCTTTGATTTATTTCCGATTCGAAAAAAAACACAAAAATCCACGCATGGTGACCGATTTCTCATTTTGCACATTTTCCAACAAAATCCGAACAACCGGACCGTTCCAATTAATTAGTTGTTCTTTTTACAAAAGTCACATCACCAATTAGAGGTTTACGGTCCCAAGAAAAAAAAATAGAGATCCAAAATTAGACAATTCACAGATGTTGGAATAGTGTAACAGAATTTGAACTGTGTGAAAAATTGAAGTTCTGGGGTCTTATAAAAAATAAGTGTTGACGATATTGGTTATACTTCTAATAGGTTTGGGGATGCATATTTTCAGAAAAATATCTAAGCCTGAGATACAACATATTCACATTACTATTCACGGAGGCATAAATTGGGTCCACCAGAAAGACAAAAAAGAAATTGAGCCAAAACTGTTTGAAAAGGTCACATATCCGCACTTATCATCCTATAGAGCCTCAAAACTCAAAACTACAAATTCTGGTACATTATTCCAATATCTGTGTCTTTTCAAGATTCGGACCTCTATTATTTCTTGGGACCTCTAGACTTTTCTGCAAAAAAAAGTATGTTGAATGAAACGGTAACCCGAATTTTCAATTTTTGTTTCGATTTCGAGTACCCAACCAGGCTACCCTGAAAGTTGCAAGACAATTGGTTCATTCAGTTATAACGCAAAACAGCTTGTCTTGCGGGATCGCCATTTCGCCCCATGGACAACCATAGTTTTATATACAAGGTAGATATATACATTGAAATTGCAATAAAATGTATTACACTTATTTTTCAAACAACAAACAAACAAAGATTGAAAACGGACGAATAGAAAGGCTCTTTTTAGTCTACAGGGGGCAAAAACGGCAACTTGGCTTCAAAATGAGATATTCTGGGGGTGTCAAATGGTAGATCTAGAAGAACTCTATCTCACAAGCAGTTTCACATTACTTCAACTTCAGTATTCGACCAGTTATAATCCACTAAAAACGACATTTGTATCGGTCTCTGGCGGACCAGGATTAGTTACTGAACTTGAAATTTTCAAGAGATGAGTGCTCTTCAGGATTTATATTTCAGTGAATATTTTATTCTGAAGCCGTTACCTTATCAAATATTTCTTTTCAAACTTTTCAAAAGTACTAGGCACGTATAGCAAAGAGTAAGGTAGTATTCGTTCTCAGCGTGCATCGAATTCAGACAAGAGTAATAGATGCTTTCTCATGCTGAACAATCATTTAAAAAACATTTGCGATAACACCTGAAAAATGCCCTATTCTCGTCCATGCGCTGGAAACTGTAGCATTTACGAATTACCACTTCTCCATACCTGAAAAGAACTTGAGAAAATAACATTAATCTATTTAGACAAAATAATTCTTGAGAATAATCCATGTTACAGTAGTCCATGGAAATAGTTACAAACCTGGCAGGATATCTTGCCGTTTCATTTGTCCTCACTATTTCCAAGTCTTCCTCAAATAATTTTTTGAAAACTGTCTTATTTTCGAAACCCACTTCTAGGTATTGCAATCGTTGGGATCCACCCGAGCGCCAATGTCTCAAAAATGAATTCAAATCTGAAACAGTGAGTCTGGAACTGTTAATGTGGATATCAATAGCATCGAAATTCATCAAATTGTCATAAGTGACCCAGCATCCGTTTGGACTGATCCACAAATCTTTTACTGGTTCTAGTTTTCCGTTGAATCGATAGTTGTCGGAAACGTTCGTCGATACCTAGCAATTCAGAAGAACGGGCGTTTCTGCAACAAATAATTTTAATTCGGTGAGTTTTTCGAAGGAAGAATAGCGGTTTTCAGGAATTGCACAGTTTCATCAAAAAATAAAACTTCCTTCTTGTAATTCACAATTTTTTATGAAAATCATTTAGTAAGAAGTTTGGTCCTTAAAAGGGTTCACACCTATTTTGGATAATTTCGGACATTTTGCTTATATAAAAAACGCTACACGCTGTTGGTCCCGGTGTCAGGCTGTGGGCTTTTGAAAAGCTTGAAAGATAAATATAGGTTTGTGTGACCCTTTAAGAAAAAATAAGGAGCGGAGCGATAGACCAGCAACAAACTAGATTGAATCGCGCCGAAGGCCCACCGGTTTGCCGGTCAATGTATAAAAACTAATTTGAATTTTTCTCTACAGTGGACAATAGGCTTAAAATTGAGTTCTACAGAGAACGTGTTTTAATGCTTTTGAAATGAATTCACTACTCCTCTACTTTTGAAAACTTGGGTTTAAAATCGGAAACGGTGAAACTTCTCACTTAGCACATAATCCAATATTTCGTCAGCATTCGAATTATTATTTTTTGACTTTATCAATCCGAAACGATCCAACGGATTCTCCTGTCGTTTGTTGATCCAATCAAGTGCCCAAGTATTGTATCTATCGATGAGCAATGTTCGAATACCGATGTTAAACAGACATAGTCCACAACCCACTTTGATGCCACCACTTGATCTTCAGAATATAGAATTAGACATTCCGATGAAAATTATATTTTGTATCCATTGATTTCAATAACTTTGCATTCTACTTCGTTAATATTTGATATGTGGACAACTGATAAAACAGTGTTCCTCTTTTCGATTTTTGATGTTACAATGACGACTTGTCTTGTACTCACACGTTCTTGCAGGTTTGTTTCCCACATCAAAGGTTTCCTTCGTCGATAATGATTTCATAGAAGGCATTTAGTTATTGGAACAGAAAGAGGCAGTCCCTCTGGAAATGTTCAGTTTCGGTTCGAATTAGAAAATTTCTTTGGTTTTCAAACATACGTTTCTTTTGGTTCCAATAGACTGAAGATTTCTGAGAGCACAACGAATGGAGTACGGAGTATTGGAAACGGCATGGGAACGGGACTGAATGAATTGGGAGAATAAAGAAAGATAGAATGGTGGTGGTTCTCAGTATAAAGAGGGTGGGAGAGAGGATGCACTGGCAATCGATGGGACCAAATCGAGATAGGGAGAGTGTGTCCTTCCCACGAGTCATACTGTGCCCATCATTTCGTCTACTGTGGAACATTGAACGCGATCTAATCCCCCTTGTACCGCTCGTTCTTCTCACACCTTCTGGTACCATTTACAGTGCATAACAGAGCTACAAGGTCACTCCAAAAACGCACTGTAACTTTTTCAAACTACAGATTTTTTTCAGCACCAAATGTACTCCATAGGAGCCGAATTTGGTGAAGGGGTCAAGGTTTTGAAACTGTGCCCTAGAAAAATAATACTTCTGGTGATATAGAAGATGACGACGTAGAACATTGATATATCCTCTGCTGGAAGTTCAGTGGCAAAGCATCTATGCAACGTGGTATTTTTATTTGGTCAGTTTTGTAAATCAGCGTATCAATTTCAAAGGAAATTCTAGATGCTGTTTTCAGATTTTCAAATCACTGATGCCAGCATCTTATCAGCCGATATAGGTTATACTTCTAATAGGTTTAGGGATGCATATTTTCAGAAAATTATCTAAGCTTGAGATACAACGTATTCACGAAGGCATTACTGTTTTGCCGACATTTTGGTTATATGTAAATTGGGTCCACCAGAAAGACAAAAAAAGGGAACCAACACTGTTCACATTTCCGAAGTCACATTTCCGCACTTATCATCCTATAGAGCCTCAGAACTCAAAACTCCAAATTCTGGCACTTTATTCCAATATCTGTGTGTTTCTCAAATTTCGGACCTCTATTTTCTCTTGGGACCTCTCTTCTTTTTTCGGACCTCTAAAATTTTTTGGGACCTCTAAACTAGAAAAGAGCCCTAATTTTCTGCCTCTTCGATTTCCTTTCGATCGGAAAAAAGAACATAAAAAATCACGCTTT